TTCTCCAACAAGATAAAACTAACTTAACGGAATGAAAAGTTAAACAAACCCCACCCTCCTCCCATTTTGGCAGCATTTGTGACCGTTAGCTAAATCAATTGAGAGGTAATTTGGAATATCTAATGGATGTTTCTGATTCCATGAAAAATCTAGATTGCACTATAGTTGAATATTGTAGCCATATTTGAAGCATCTTTATGTATCAGGTTGTGGAGATGTTGAGACCATGAGAAGAATAAGACTTTTAACTTGAAGTTTGTTACCCTCGATTACTTCTCTCTTTCTCTTGGTGACTAGTGGTTTCCTATCTTGCATAGTATCATACAAAGGCTGAGGAATCAAAATAGGCAGCAATATAGAAAGCGGCTGAAGAAGTTTTAAGTTTATGGCCTATAAGATCCCTTTTACAAAGAAGAAGATGCCAAAAGTGTTCTTGATATTTTACATCAATATGAAAACCTTGTACCACATGTTGTGTCAACCTACATTGTTTATTTGGTGGCAAGGACAAACCGGCATAATTTACTGGAAAGCACTTATGTGCAAAAGGCATCAAATGCTGACTGATATCTGTTATAAGAGTGATGTATTCTGCTCATTAGTCATTCCTTCAATATTAGTTGTTGAGGAAGTCAGTCATGGCAGCAGGTAATGTAAAGCTACTAAGAGTATGGGCAAGCCCTCTCGTGAACCGGGTTGAAATAGCCCTCAAAATAAAGTCTATTGATCCTGTGTTTATACAAGAAATTTTGTTACCCAAAAGTGAGCTGCTCCTCAAATCCAACCCTGTTTACAAGAAAATCCCCATCTTATTCCATGATGAAAAGCCTATCTGTGAGTCCCTTGTCATCCTTCAATACATCGATGAAGCTTGGCCGAATGGTCCATCTATTCTTCCTTCTGATTCCTATGATCGTGTGCTATAGCACGGTTTTGGGCAGCCTATATTGATGAAAAGGTAAGACTTATTTTATAATAGATACCACATCCTAAAGGGAAAACTTTTTAATTTGTTTGGACTCGTATTTAAACTCTATGATATTTCACTAATAATCACTGACTTTTACTACTTGTAACAGTAATGACACTGAACTATTCATGTCATATTAAAGTAGCTGAACTTTACCATACTCGAAAAGTTGTTTGGACTAATAGTTAAGTTCATCAAAGTTTGTTCTTGGTTTCCCCCTTTCCGTTTCTTGATAATCAGTTTGTGTACTGGATTCTCAATTAAACCCTGAGATTATGGGTGCAGTGGTTTCCATTGGCGCTGGAGTTTAGGAAAGCGGAAGGAAAAGAAGCAAAGGCAGCAATGCTGGAGAAAATATCTGAAGGGAATTTGATGCTGGAGGAAGCTTTTGTCAAGATCAGCAAAGGCTAACCTTTCTTTGGTGGCGATAGCATCGGTTACATTGACATTGTTCTTGGGAGTTTACTAGGATGGGTAAAGGCACAAGAGATAATCGATGAAATGAAGATACTAGATGAAACCAAGATGCCTAGCCTAGCAGAATGGGATGATAGATTTTGCTCAGACAAAGTTGTAAAGGATTTCATTCCAGAGCCTGAGAAACTTGCAGAAGTTTATCGGAAGTATTATAATTTGAATAAAGCTACTTCAAATTAATAATGTTGCTGATTTCTTTGCCTGTGCCTATTAAGTAAAGGGTGTCTTAGGTCCCCTCCATAGGAAGGGAGGATTTGGTCCTAGATCTTGTTTAAAATTTGTGAGAATAAAAACTGTTTGATCTTATTAATGAATGGAACAAACATTCCTTGTTTGACATTCCTACATGTTGATCTACATTATAAATAAATGCTGCAGATCTGCACTCTCTATTTGCACTCAACGGCTGCACCTATATCCGAGCAACGTAGATTTTAGTTATGTCTCTTTATATTCAACAAGATGAAAGATGATGTGTCTTGTAGTTAAAATCGCTTCGTTGTATGTTATATCTGATGAAACCATATGCCATAGGCCAGCAATGATGTGTGACCATGTCAAAGTCATCTTAGTACTAACCAGTCCAAATCAATTGCTTCCTTGTTTGCAAAACAAAAACAAAGTCATATTAGTATTCTTCTTATGCTAAGTTATTGGAATATGCCAAGTTAAACAAGTATTTAGCATTAGTTATACCAACCTCAGCGTGAATTGCTATGTTTCCAAAGCATATAAGTACTTGATTAGCTGTGTGCATCATTTCATATGAAGCCACCAAGTAAATAAGTAATTATCAAGAACATTTACTCATGGCAGCAAATAATGTTAAGGTTCTAGGTATACAGGCAAGTCCAGTTGTGATTAGAGTTCTAATTGCCCTCAATGTTAAGTCTGTGGCCTATGAGTTTATTCAAGAGGATATGTCTAATAAAAGTGAGCTTCTCCTTAAATCAAACCCTGTTCATAAAAAAATCCCAGTTCTCATTCATGGTGACAAGCCTATCTCTGAGTCCCTAGTCATCGTCCAATACATCGACGAGACATGGACTAATGGCCCCTCCATTCTCCCTTCTGATCCATACGATCGTGCTATTGCCAGGTTTTGGGCTGCCTACATTGATGAAAAGGTATTGGGTTTCATTTACTGTTGCATTGGTTGAGAATCTATTCATTCAAGCTAACAAAAGTTAATGAATAACTTTCAGTGGTTTCCTTTGATGTCGGAGCTCGGAAAAGCACAAGGAGATGAAGCAAAGAGAGAAGTGAAAGAGAAACTAAAAGAAGCATTGGTGCCTTTAGAAGAGGCATTTGTTAAGTGTAGCAAAGGGAAAGCTTTCTTTGGTGGAGACAATATTGGTTATTTAGACATTGCTTTGGGTTGAATTTTGGGATGGATAAAGACAATAAGGTTGATTTTAGGAGCGGAAATATTCGATGGAGCGAAAACCCCCGGCTTGGTTGGATGGGCTGATAGGTTCTTGGCAGAGAAAGCTGTTAAGGATGCCATTTTGGGACCAGAGAAACTTTTTGAAATCGCCAAGTTACGCTGGCCAGAAGAGATGCTGCTAACGCAAACTAAGGCATGATGTTCTTCATTTCTCGTTTCTTTCTGGTTTAATAAGGAATAAGGATTGCCTGTTGAATTCACCTTGGCTATAGACAATCTTTGCTGTATAAAACAGCAACTTTCTGCCTGTAACTCTTGATGGTCAATAAAGAAACTTGTTTACTTGGCTTCAATGTGCTTAACTTTTTGACAAATTAAATCTGTGAATACGCAAAGTTGGTAACGTCCAATTGCAATCACAAACTAAAGCGAAAGTAAAACCTTGTTATCTATTGATAATTTGGCTAATAATTGCTAAGAATCGAGTTAACTGTCCGGAAAGTTGAGTCCTTCACCGAGGACTCGACAACACAATAAACTACAGATGTATGATTGATGAGACCATAAATCTATTGGAAACTACTATATGAGGTCCTTACCTTGATAACATTGTTGACTGTGTTGGATGAAGGCAGAAGAGATAATGGCTAAAAAGAGTATACTAGAAGAGACCAAGACGCTTAGTCTAGTTGAATGGTACGATAGAGATTTTGCTCAGAGAAAGCTGTAAAGGATTTTACTTCAGAACCTGAGAAACTTGTGGAATTTATGGGAAGTATCAGGAGATGAAAAAAGCTACTTCAAACTAATAATTTTGCTGATTTCTTTGCCTGTGCTTATTAAGTAAAGTATGTCTTAGGCCCCTCATTAGGCATGGAGAATTGGTCTGGATCTTGTTTAAAAGAATTGAGAATAAAAGAAGTTTGTTCTTATTAATGAGCTAAACAAACTATCCTTGTTTGAATTCCAAGATGTTGATCGACATTATACATATATGTTGCATATAGCTTTTCTCATTTTAAGGGGAGCCTTGACGTAACTAGTAAAGTTGTTGCCATGTGGCCAGAAGGTCACGGGTTTGAGCCGTGGAAACAGCCTCTTGCAGAAATGCAGGGTAAGGCTGCGTACAATAGACCTTTGTGGTCCGGTCCTTCCCTGGATCCGTGCATAGCGGGAGTTTAGTGCCACCGGGCTCCCCTTTTTATAGCTTTTCTCGTTTAAGAACTAAAATTACATACTTAATAGATTAAGAGGCAGAGAATAGAAAATGCATCCTTATTAACAGGAAACTAAAAATGATGGTCTATGTAATATTCCTAGAAAGACTTCAATGAAATAATGTAATTTAAGTCTTTATTAACCTCCACTTGCAATAGTTGCAAATAAGGAAATTCTGTACAAATGGTGAGTTTTTAGAAAAACATCAATGAAGTAAATGTGACTTAGTCCTGTTTAGCCCCCATTTGCAATTGATGCAGTTTTAAAAATTATTACAAAATGGCTATACAAAATGGTAAGATTCCTAGAAAGATTTCACTGGAATAATGTAATCATATTCTTTCTTTAACCCCCATTTGAAATAGTTACAGTAATAAAATATGATGAATGTCTCATCTTCTACAACATGCAAGTAAATTATACTTAAACTATCACCATGCTAGGTAGATCAATTGCAGATCAACTCAATCAGGCTCATTGAACTATGATTAGTTGTGGGTTCAAAATATAATATTTGTTTCTATAGAAAGCCTGCGCAGTATAGACCCTTGTGGTACGGCCCTTTCCCGGACCCCGCGCATAGTGGGAGCTTAGTGCACCGGGCTGCCCTTTTTTTTCTATAGAAAATCTCCATTCTCTCCGGATATATCTCTGATTATAAGTTTGCTTCTATATACAGGTATTCCATATGCCATATGCCTGCTATGTTGTGTGACCATTTCAAAGTCATCTTAGTATTTTCTGAAACCAGTTCCAATCTGTTGCTTTCTTGTTTCACAATAAATATCAAAGTCATCTTAGTATTCTACATGCTAAATTATTAGTATATGCCAAGTTAAAAGATCAGTTAGCATTACCGATACATTAAGTTATCACTATATGCCAAGTTAAATATTTTTTAACATTGAAAACACCACCATCAACGTGAATCGCAATGTTGCATGTGCATATAAGTCTTTGATTAGCTGTATGCTTCATTAACATTTGCAGCCACCAAGTAAATTATCAAGAATAATTTTGTCATGGCAGAAAGTACAGTGAAGGTTCTAGGTACACAGGCAAGTCCATTTGCAAATCGAGTTCTAATTGCCCTCAGTGTTAAGTCTGTCGACTATGAGTTTATTCAAGAGGACATGTCCAATAAAAGTGAGCTTCTTCTTAAATCCAACCCTGTTCATAAGAAAATTCCAGTCCTTATCCATGGTGACAAGCCTATCTCTGAGTCATTAGTCATCGTCCAATACATCGATGAGACATGGACTAATGCCCCCTCCATTCTACCTTCTGACCCACACGACCGTGCTGTTGCCAGATTTTGGGCTGCGTACGTTGATGACAAGGTATTTGTTTCATCTACTGTTGCTTTTTTTATCAAAAAAATCTTTCTGTACTTTAATTCAGTGACATACGCCCAAAATTTTTCGAGGGCGCATCTACCCTGTAACAGGGTAGCTCCCTAGTGATATTGTCTGCTCTGGACCTAGGCTTTCACGGTTTAAAACGCGTCATTAGGGTCTAAGACTTGTCAACTTATATAGCCAATATCCCTCTCTTGTGTTTCGCCGATGTGGGACTCTGTCTAAAGTCTGGAGTATTACATGCCAATGCTTGGACTATTTCATATAGGCTAACACAAGTTAATGAATACTAACTTGCAGTGGTTACCTTTGATGTCGGATCTTGGAAAAGCACAAGGAGAGGAGGCAAAGGCAGAAGTGCAAGAGAAACTTCAACATGCATTGGTGCCTTTAGAAGAGGCATTTGTTAAGTGTAGTAAGGAGAAAGCTTTCTTTGGTGGAGACAATATTGGTTACATAGACATTGCTTTGGGGTGCATTTTGGGTTGGATAAAGGCAATAAAGATAATGTTAGGAGTGGAAATATTTGATGTAACAAAGACCCCTGGCTTGGTTAAATGGGCTGATAGATTCTTGGCAGACAAAGATGTTAAAGATGTTATTTTGGAGCCAGAGAAACTTGTTGAAATCCTTAAGTTACATTTGGCCAAAAGAGAAGCTGCTAATGCAAACTAAAGCATGGTGTTTGTTATTTGTTCGTTTTCTTTTTGGGTAATAAAGATTGTCTAATGAAGCATCTTAGCAATTATGCTATGGACAATTTCTTTGTAGTAGAAGAAAACAACTTTCTACCTGCTTCTTGCCTTTGATTCCCTTCCCTACCCCCCCCCCCCCCCCTTTGTACTTATTGATGGATATTCAAGAAGGAACTTGTTTACGAGCTACAATTATATCCTTGTCATGATCCAAATCACCACCGGTCGTAATAGCGCCTAATCCCACTTGCTAGGGCAAGTCAATCATAACATTTACAGAAAATAATAGCAATGACAGAATTAATGAAACTGAAAGTCAAATAAGGATGGATAATACTAAATCATTACACAAATCCCCAGAAATTGGAAACACTGAGTCATAAGCTCTACAATACGAATACAAGTCTGCTAAGAGAAAATAATGTCTGAAACAACAACAGTAATAAAAGGTAAGAAGAGATGACAGGGACTCCGATCAGAAAGCAGCTCTACCTCAGTCTCACAGCTCAGATCACAATGCTCAACTGGTCCAACTCCTGATATGCACAACTAGGTGCAGCATAAAATATGAATACAACCAATGTACTCAGTAAGTATTATGACTAACCTCGGCGAGGTAGTGGCGAGAATTGCCAATGATACTCACCTAACAACCTGCTCAATTCGTAGATATGCAAGTACAGAGCAACAATACTGAAACTAAGCATGAAATATAGGTACGACCAATCAGTACACATAGAGAAAATGGGCGCAAGTGTTGTGGCAGTTTAACATCTCAGCATATAGAGAAAATATGCGCCTCACACCAATGAATCATCAACATTTGCATATAGAGAAGATATGCGTAAATAATCAAGTCAATGTGCACAAATTAACATATAGAGAAGATATATACCGTGATTCCATTCTTCAATCAAGCAGCATATAGAGAAGAAATGCATAAAGAGGTATGTATACATCCAGAACTAGCATACAGAAAAGATATGCGATAAAATCATGTATACATCCAAGGTGTTTGTATATAGAGAAGATACGCAATAATCAAACACTGGTCAGTTTTCTTATACCACATGTATGTCATCAAGAGAGAAACATAAGAGGATGACCCTAGGAGATGTATCTTTATCCACATGTTGCACATACAACTCACGTACCATAACATCACAATCACACGGACCACACACATGCTATGATAACTCAACTTGCACAGACCACCCACATGTTGTCAATCAAGTCCATCATACATAAAGCATATACAAGAACACATGTATAAGAACAACGAATATCAAATCACATGCTCATGGAATGATGAAAAGTAGCATGCTAAGGTGTATGGATGTGCAAAGTGTGCTACTGTAGCTCAGATTAGGCGAATATGCCATAAAATAACTATTATCATGCTTGAACAGGAAATCAACCTACACATGATCTCTAGTATGATTCAAAAAGTTCATGAGGTCATACAAACATAAAAGCATGATAACTGTTGAGTTGTCCCACATCGGAGGGATTTGAGGTCCTTGGTCTCCTTATATGGCTTGGGCAATCCTCACCTCACAAGCTAGCTTTTGGGGTTGAGTTAGGATCAATGTCCATTCTTATCAATAACAAGAAGCATAGTATTCAAACAAGGCATAACACAGCCTAAGGACTACACCAGACATGGATAAAATCTCGGAGGCATACATGCTCATCGCCCCCGCATGTACGTCACCCTCGCATGCAGCCATCATCAACAAATCAAGCAACTAGACCGTCAACCAAAGCTAGACAAGATACCTACCTCAAGCGAGCAAAATTCAATACTCCAAAAATGCCATCCCTCGCGAATCGACCTCCGAACGGCTCAAATCTAGTCAAATAACTCACGGTAATGTCAAATAACTTTATTCCAAATCTTATTTCTCTTGGTATGCCCTCATATCCATCCCAACACCCTCATTTATAATACTTTTATCTTTTGAATATGGGAGTTCTTGACTGGCCAACACTCAACCAGGGCCGGACATAGAATGGGGTAAGGCAAGTGCCTTAGGCCCCTAATTTTGGGGGCCCCCATTTTTTAGGAATAAGGACTATATTTTATAGATTTGTAGATTTTTCTTTTAAAATATAAATTTATGTATAAATTTTGTACTTTTCATATAAAAAGAAAGAAAAACTTTGGATATATTAATAAATTAAAGTTTAAAATAGTAGAAAAATAGATGTCACTTTGATTTGATTTGACAACTCTACTTTTTATTCTTCCAAATAATCCCTAGCCATCGTTTCAATTCTAGTGCTAGTATCTACTCATTCTTCATATTCCAGAAGACAAATCTTCTTCCTTCCTCTTTATTCATGACTCATGCTTATTTTTTTTTTTGGTAATTATAAATTTTCATTACCAAGTAAATATTTACACAGCATTTCAAACAAGCTCTGAAGTTGGACAGATGCCCCAAACTTCATTACACTACTGTATCATCTAACTATACTATTATCAGCCTATACATGATGTTATATTCTCTATTCCTATAAACTAGGATAGTAGTCTTGCTGCTTCAACATTGGCATCAACTTCTTGCTCCTTCTCCCCTTGCAATGTATCTCTTGGATGATCTGCTTTACTATAATTGCTGCTTGTCTCATTTTCTGTTGGAATATTTTGCTGTTCCTCGCTAGCCATATGTAATACACACTTCCTGCTAGGGCCATACGATAGATTTCTGCACATGCACTGTTTTCAGAAGCATTCTTCCCAGCCCATTCCACTTCTTCCTTCCATCCCATAGCTTGCCTTTGGACTCCTTGCCAATTCAGTAGCTTTTGCCAGATTTGAGAAGTAACTGGACACTTAAAAAACAAGTGTTGGATGTCTTCTTCCTCATTGTCACATAATGCACATGTTGTATCATATCCCAAATTCCACTTTTTCAGTCTCATCTTAGTGTAAAGCCTGTCATGTAGTGTAAGATACAAAATGAAAATCCATTTTGGGCAGCCCTGGTTATTACATATCAGTCTCCTCCATTGCACTTTGGGGTGTTCTTCTCTCATCTTGTTGTACATTTGATTTATTGAGTATTTGTCATCTTCCAGGAACTCCTCATTTGTTACCCCTGCTTCCTCCAAATACTGTTTAGCTCTTAGGATCTTCTGTATTAGCCATGAAGCTTGTGTAGGCTGACTGTCCCATACTTGTGCTCCTTTTATGTAATAGCTGTGCACCCTGTGAGCACGTTATTTTTGCCCTAAGCAATAATTCCTAAAATTTCAAACGAAACAATGTTTTCTAGTATTCTATAAATTTTTGTGAATTTTGTGGCATGCTTTGGTAATTGTTGCATTTTTATTTGTGCATTTTGATCCATATGAAAATACCAAAAATATGCATTGGCATTTAGGGATTTAATTTCACAATTTTAGTATTAATTAGTTTTAGAATAAAATGTAAAGAAAATTGCAAGAAAATAGTTCTATGCATTGCTAATTATTGCATTTGTCTTCAAATAGAGTTATAAGTAATTTTAAGAGTTAAATAAGGTAATTAGGTCTTTGCTTTGTTTTAGCATTTTATAAAATCAAAAAATAAATAAATACAAAATACAAAAAGGAAAAAAAAAAAGAAAAATTAAAAGTGGTCTTAATTGGAGACCAAAATCTGGGCCAAAACCAGTTAGCCCAAACACAATGCTCACGTCCAGGCCCAACCCGTCCCCTGCCCGGTCCAGCCCCCCCATAACCAAAAACGACGTCGTTTGGCAAATCGATCGTAACCGTCCATACCCCCAAATCTGACGGTCTGGATCCGATCTTCCATTTCTAATAAAATTGTAATAATCTTTATACAAAATCAACGACAATCCCCATCCTCCTCGTACAAACCTTAACCCCGCCTGCCTCCGCCGTCCTCCACCCTCCTCCGCCCTAGCCCCACCGCCCCTCTGCCGTCCGCCGCCGGCCGGAAATCGTCTCCGGCGGCGGCGATGCTCCGATGACCACCAAAAATACACCACTGACTCCCCTCGCCCTCCCCTGTCCAACCATGCCCTCAGTTCCCCTCGAATCATAGCCGATCTTGTCGAATATGCCATCGAAGATTTTCCGGCCAAGACCTAAAGTATGCCAAATGGTCCCAAATTGATACCCTAGGTTCATCTGAGTCTCCTCTACCCAACCCCCATAGCCACTAGTCTCGAATCTGCCCGGAACATTACAGATTTTAAATCTCAATTCCGGCAGAACCCTAACTCAGAAAATCTTGGGGATTTTGGACCGTAATTTCCCTAATCATGTGTGTTCTTTTGGAAAACACACGATTGGGGATGTTACGTGTCAAGAATCCCGGAGGATTCACAACAAAAGCTGGTCAGAATTCGCCCCATAGTCAGTCGAGTGCTCAAAATTGGTAAGTTCTGTTCAATGCTGTTCTGATTCTGCATGCTTGTTCAAATTTGTTTTGATAATCGTTAACTCTTTAGGGCACTTTTGATTTCAATTTTTCTTTTCTTCAGTAATTGAGCCTCTACTGTTGTTATTGTTTAATGGTAATCAATTAGTTTAGTTTAGATTAATTACCTTAGTAAGTCCATGTTCAGGATCTAGCTTAAATTTCGTCCTTCATTCTCAGTAGGCATACACGTTTAAGTGGTTTGATTTTAGGTTTAGTTAGTCGACTCCTAATTGTTTACTGCAATTTGATTTTAATTGTTTCAACCCCTGGATTAGCTGATTTGTCTAGTTTGATCAGCCTTAGGAACAGATTGCTTGGTTGTAGTTAATGGACTGGTTTAACTTGGTCAGTAATTTCATGGGATTCAAAGGGTAGTTTAGGCATGGGAAAAGGGTACTTTTATCAGATTTGGTAATTTTAGAAAGGGGGTAAGGATAGAATAGGGATTGTAATAGGCATAGAACCTTCTAGGATGGACTATAGTGTAGGTTCTAATAAACTTAAGGTAGTTACTTGTGTAACAAGTCAGAAAAAAAGGGGTAAGCACTGAAATTAGAATAGGGACTAAGGGGTAAAAGGAAAATCTGAAATTGGACCTTAAGCTCACCTATAAATAGGCACTCATTTGCCTTGAGAAGGAAGTTCTTTTTTTTGGGGGGGGGGCAGTCCTCTAAATCCCT